AGTTTTGTGCTGGTCACTCGGATCAACTTCAACTGGTGGTAGCCAAACTTGAGGTCGATCTTGGAGAAGACCTTGCACCCACCTGCAACATCTAGCAGATCATCTATGCGAGGCAAAGGGTACGCATTCTTTCTAGCGATCCGGTTCAAGCCACGATAGTCAATGCACATTCGGAGCTTGCCTCCTTTCTTCAATACAAACAGTACAGGGGCACCAAACTCAGAGTCACTAGGCCTAATCCATCCACGATCGATCATGTCATCAATTTGTCTCCCCAACTCCTCCAACTTGCCTTGTCCCATACAGTAGACGCAGCCCTTTGGAGAAACACTCCCTTCTATTTTCTCGATCTTGTGTTTGACCGGACGCTCGGGAACTCCACGAGGTTCAGCCAGAACTTCAGGAAATCGATCTAATAGACAACGAATGTTTGTGGGGACTTCCGGTGGAGGATCATCCTTGTCAGGAGAAAGAAAATCAGATTGAGAATTTACAGCAATTACAACCGAATTCAAAATACTTGGATCAGAAGTGGACTGATTTTTTACAGTAGAAGTAGATGAAACAAAAGTAGAGGTAGTAGAAGTAGAATTACTTTCCGAGGTAGAAAATGCAGCAAAAGTAGAAGGCACATGGAGAGGCTTTACAAGAGCTACATGCACATGCTCAGCTTCCTTGCGCCTGCGCACTGATTTGCAGAATTTGTTCGCACTCAAAAGAGTCACAGGGAACTCGCGCGTCTCGTCTAATAGAACCGGTACGCTCGTTCCCCTTGGCATCACGCACCACGAACTGAGTATTCGCCCACGTGGTCCTTAGACAATGAGACTTAAACCAGCCCAAGCCAATGACCGCGTCGAAAGGACACTTGTCCAGGATGTGAAAGTTCAGCTCATGGGTGATTGTGCGATCCTTGTCAAAGGTGACGCGCACACCTTTGACAACATGTGTTGAGGTGACAACCTCTTGGTTGCCTACCTGGGTCTGACAAGGGTTCTGCAATTCCACTTGCTTCATTCCCAGGCCCGCCTTACGAATCCCGTTATTGATAGTCGTTGAGCCACTATCAATCAGCACGCGGATGTATCGGCGGTTAATGAGCAACTTAAAGATGGTCAATTCCACACTCCCTTGAACACGACGTTGCTGCTTGAGCTGCAGCCAATGTTCCAGGTGAGAGTGGAAGTCAACATGCTTAGCCTCCTCCCAAGGCTCAGTGTAAAGTACTTGGACTGCAGCAGTCTTGGATTCAACATCAGTTCGGGCTTCAAGAGCAGGTTGTTGATCAAATTCAGGCTCCTTGGAGGGGCCTGCAACTGACTGTTCAGCTTCCCTTGTTGTAAAGAGTGTTGATGACTCTTCTACGCCCTTTGCCTGTTTCCCTGCAGACGATAACATTCCTGCACAGCATGCCCAGGCTTTTGACGAAGCAAGCACACGCGCAGTTTGGATCTTCTCTCCCATTCCTTTTGGCTAATGCGGATGGCTTCCCACGACTTGGTGGAAGCATCCTTCTCTCCCTTTACCCGAACCACGGTTAGGCCCCTTGCTTGAAGCAGTCTTTTCAAAGGTATTGCATTTTTCTTCAGTATTCATGTCAGACTCGAGGGCTGATGTAGAACAGCCCATGTTGGAGTCCGGCTCTAGATCGTCATCTAGAGACAGATCATCTGCATAGGATTGCTCCTCAGCCTCCCAATGTTCATGCAGGGCAAGCTGGTTGCTGCTTCCGTACCGCTTGCGTTGCGAGGTTCTACCTGCAGCGGGTGCCTTAGCACGCCTTGCGAGGTCCTTGGCTTCTAGATTGACTAGATCCATCAGTAGCTCTCGCCAAGTCGTATGGTCCTTGAGTCCTAGCCGGGAGACATAGTCTTCAGGGGCCACTCCCATACCTACGTCCATGCAAGACACGCCAGTCCATCCCAGGTTTGGAGTGGTGAACAGACCAGTCAAGTGATGCGCTAAAGCCTGCATGGAAGTCCTCCACTTTTGTCCCTTGACGACCTCAAGCTTTAGCCTTGCCTTGAGCGCAGCGTGCTTATCTTGATACTGCGCGATGAGGAGGTCCTCAAAAATATGTACAATTGTTACTTCCAACCACTCAGTCAGATCAATTCTCTCATAACCTGCATTTACAGCTTGGAGTTCTAAGAAACTCCATACGGCGGGATCAATATTTGTGCCCATGATCATGCTTCGGTCCTCCTGTGGTGTTCGCAGTACCTCGAAGTATGAGCGCATGGAGCTAATCCAAAAGGTGATGTCCCCCCTTCCCGTCGTACTTGGACGGTAGCGTGACCGCCCTCTTGTCCACTACGGGACCACTGTATTGTACGCCAGTAAGAACTGCGGCGTTTTGGGCTGATGTTCCTGCATTTGGATCTAGGACCAGTGCAGAACTGTCGACACTGCCGCTTGAGGAGCTGGCACCGGTTCCTGCGCTCATCACAGTTCCACTTGCTCTCGACATGAGGACTGTGTTAGGGTGAGAGACTGGGACTGCAGCAGGTTGAGGATTAGGAGGATGGGGGGCAGACAGTTGGGACTGTTTGAGGCCGACTATCTCAGCCTGCAGCTCTTGGTTCTGCTTCTCCAGAGTTGTCACACGGGACTCTATATCTTCCAAGGTCCGCAGTCGAACCAAGGCTGCTACAACAACTAGCTTCTCTTGGAACTCGTCATCATTCGATTCCGGAACCTCGAGGAGGGCCACTTGTGCAGCAATACTTGTGGCTTTGGCTGCTGCCTCTGCCTCCCTCTCTCTATGCATTGCGTCCTCATAAAGTTTTTGAAAGAAAGGTTTCTCGTTCTCGGACGCTGCGTCTAGCATGGCCTTCCATTGCTCGGATGTGATGTCTGCCATGCTGGAGGATAGGGCGTCAATAGATCTCTCAAGAGGGGTCCGCACTTTGCTTACTTTTAAATGAACACTCCTCTTACTCCTCCTCACTCTAAAGAAAAAACACCTACTCTCTCCCTTCTCTCTCTTTCCGTTTTTCGCGCACGCGTCTCAATACCAAACATAGATAGTTCAGATAAAAGAAAAAACAGTAAATCATCAAGAGTAGAAGGTAAAACTCCTAGCCGGAGCGGCAATTCATTTGGACTTGGAGAATGACATTCACGCAGCAGAATAAAGACAAATAATTAAAATATTAAAAAAAACGAAAGAGAGGACTGACTTATCGAACGGGCCCGATCAGATTAGCTGGAGATCCCCTCTTGTCTAATCTGACAAGGAGCATGTACCACAATAAGTCAGCCGAAGAAAACTAACTGCAACAATGGAGATTTCGAGGGGTGCAGACGGTCGCCGAGCCAGACGCGGGGCAGTATGTGAGAACATGCAGTAAGACCAGTCAAGATCCCTTGAGAGGAATGCCCTTACTAGCCGTATGTCCCCCAAATTCAGCACAGCAAAGAGATGCATTGACGACAACAAATTTGGGCCCTAAAGGTCCTGTCCTGTTTGGCCTCGTCCCACTGTGTGCCAAAGGTCCCAAGTAGGTCGTGGACCAGGACCAACGAGATAGGTGTACCAAGTCAGTCCCAAACTGCCTCTACCGTACTACAAAGGAAAAGACAACTTTCAGCAAGAACTTACCCCTACAGCCGTTCAAAAATGAAAAGACAATGCACCGTAAAAAGATATGTCATTGAGAACAAGACACATCATCCATCCATCCATTAGGTGCGAAAGCAATCCACATGCTCACACACATAACCAAGACCGCAGAGAAGAGGAAGAGAGCCCAACACACCCCAACAGGCCATGAAGCACCAAGCAACCTCCCACAGGCATAACCAGGTCACACGACACTTACCTGTGAGGCCCGGCCTCCAAAGATGGATAACAACTCACCCCCCTCTCTCATAGGTCCTCCTGACCCCTAGCTACCACAACACGGAGTGTCCTAGCATGAATAAGAGGGCCTCCCTACACCCCTGTTACAACGCTGGATCCCCCGTCGATGTTTGAAGACCAAAGTAGCAACTTGCAGCTCTTCGATGCAGATATGGCAGCCTCCGATCAAGTCTCCCTCTTGAGGGGAAGCCCAAAAGTCGCTCAATGTCTTCTTGAAGTGCAGACTCCAGGTGCGAGTACCTCTCACTCTCTACTCCCTCTCGCTTACTCCAATCAGCCTAGTGTCTCGCCACCCCATCCAATCACACAAGCAACCTAGTCAGGTCTGATGTCGACCCTACATGACCTAACCAGGTGGGGGCAGTATCCACATCCCTCACTGCCCCTCTTAACCCTAACTTCCCAACCTTAATCCGAGATTAGGTTAGCCCTAACCTAATTCGGAATTAGGTTTAGAGTGACTAACACCTCTCGCCAGCAAGTAAGTCCGCTCTTGTTACGGACTCCGCCAGGGCTCGATCCCTAGTCTACCTCTTGTTGTTTCTGCTGCATCCCGTTTTGGCCTGGCACCCTTTTTCCAAACTCCTCCTTTGGTACCGTCGGATTTTGGACAACTGGCGCCATACTGCAATTCGGGCGCCACTTTCAAATGCCGCATTTTTCAGTTCTGCCCCCGGGGGCTTTTGCAGAGATGCCCCTGGTACCGTACGTGTCACCGACACTTATATCGGTTCCCTGTACAATACGGGCAACCAGTCTCCTACCAGTTTCAGCTGCTGTACTCGTACTCAATGGGACTTGCTCCTGTTTTCGGCATTCCGAATCCAAGACTTCGCCTTTGTGTCCTTGCCACTTTGTCTGCGTCCAACCCCGAGTCGTGTCGAGTGAGTGTGTGTGTGTGTGTGCTCTCACTCTCTCCCTCTCTCTCCCCTCTCCCTCGGCTCTCCCTGTCTCCCTCAGCCTCGCGCTCGTCACACTGGTATCGGAGCGGTTCGAACCCGCCTGACCCACCTTGCTTCGTCGCCAGCACCTGGCCATCATCAGCATCATCGGCGTGATCGTCGTCGCAATGCCACGTCATCGTCGCGATCGTCAACGTCGTGCCACGTCACCAACGTCATCGTCGCGATCATCGTCGTCGTGCCACGTCCTCATCATCGCGATGGTCGTCGTCGTGCCACGTCACCATCGTCGTGCCCCTCGTCCTCGTCGCCACGCCGAGACCATCCTCGTCATCGTCGTTGCTACCCCGCGCAGATAAGTAATTGACGACAATTTTCGTTTTTTTAATTTCTTATCCGTTTCTTCCTCTTTGATTCTTCTTCTTCTTCTTCTTCTCCTTTTCATCTTGGTCTTCTTCTTTTCATCATCTTCTTCTTCTTCTTCTTCTTCTTCTTCTCCTCTCCCGCCGTCGCGATCCCCCCCCGACTACGATTCCCCCCCGATCCCAATCTCCCCCCGCGC